TGGTAGAGAATAGTAGCTGTGAGCGAAAATGGGCTACATGTAGCTCCAAAAGGCACTCGTGTAATCCTCCACTCTTGCAGCTTGCCCTTGCACACATCTCCTTCTGTAAACCAGAGAAAGCGGAAAGCGTCTCTGTCGTCCTCCCGAATCGCAATTTGAAGGAATGCCTTTTCTATGTCCGCGATAACTGCCACCGGGTACGTTCTGAAGCGTAGCAGAATTTGCATGAGGTCTTGGTATAAGTTGTCACCCTTTTGAAGGCAGTAATTAAGGGACTTGCATCCTTTTGGCATGTGACGAAGCGTCAAACACCACTCTCATTTTCGTCGTCAGTGCTTGTTCACGCATGACTTCCTTGTGTGGCATGTAATATAATTTCGTCACCACTGCAGGTACGTCACTGACTACTTCGGCGTGTCCGGCCCTCAAGTACTCCCTTATGGTACGGTCATACATTTCGAGCAGTCCTTTTCTGGAGTTGAGACGGTTGACAAGCTTGTCCAGTCGAGTAACCTGTTGCTTGCAAGCTCGAAATTATCCTTCGAAGGGAGGGTGACTTCATATCTTCCGTTTATAAAGCTAATCGTTTGCTCACAATTCCTCATGGTGTTGCTCATTTCAGGTGGCTTGTTTATCGTGTCCGTAATTTCTATGTTTTCAAGTTCCCAAAAGGAGCGCGAAATCTCGTCGGGATCGGTAGCTGGGGCTTTTAACACGCACACCATCATTTGTGAAGTAGTTGAGCGGGACACCAAGTGCGATGTGCTTCCATGGAAGGTACATCCAAGCTTGGAGTTCAGTGTGATCAATGATTCGTTGCCTTCGCACCGTGAAACTTCGCCGGTCAACACTTTCCACATCTGATCGGACCCGATAAGTACGCTGATGCCACTCTTAGTTATGATAGTTGGATGTTGGAGCTCATCGGCAACATTGTTTCCCAGCTTCTTGAAAGACGCAACGAAGGCTACGTCCATTGCAGTCTCTGTGATGTCTTGGCAGATGCTTGAGATCTCTATTGCAAATAAGACTATTTCCGCGTCGGACAACTGGCTTCGCAGTCGTAGTTCTACTATGCGACGCCTCTTAGCCTCTTGGTCCGATGTATTTGTGAAAGTATTGAAGGCTATTTGAGTTGCTCCCACGCTTTTCAGCTTGAGTTGCTTGAACAGATCTTCAGTTACGAAAGTCCTCGGACTGCCAACATCGAAAACGCCTCTTATGTAGCGGCAGGTGTCATTATTCATGGCCCATGCTCTGAAAGTGTGAAGAAAAACGGAAGTGGTAAAGTCTTCCTTGACGGGTCTTCTTCCAAGTGATGCACAGACTGTCTTAGTGTTTTCGTAGTTCTTGTTAGCATAGTCTGACTTTCGCGAACACCTATCGGGATCGCACATGCTTGTAGCGGGTCGTGCTTGGCACCTGGAGCAGGAAATCCTCTTTTTGCAGTCCCGTGCCCGATGTCCTTTGGTGGTGCAGCGGAAACACCTTTTGTCGTTGGAAAGCAGTTCCTTCTTCTGCGTCAGAGACCAGTCAGCTGTGCAGGCTTCCGATCCGTGATGGCTGGACGAGCAGAATACGCAGTTGTTCTCTTTTTCTCCTACCGAGTTGCTGTGAAGCACAGATGACGTCGGTTTCCCACGCCGAGAGTACGTCGACTGACTGGCCACGGGGAGTGTTCCATGTTCACGTTCTTTGGCATCCTTAAAATCACTCTTCTCCAAGCTTTCCAGCTGGATACACAGGAAGTTGAGCACACGGTCCAGTCCCACGGCTGTAGCTTCAGCTCTCGAGTCATATGCCAACTGGACGGCACATGATCGATGATACTGCACGACTATATCCTGTGGAAGAGCACGCAGTAGGATGTCGCAGAGCATTGAGAAAAGTGACTTGTGCACACCCAAAGTCTCTAAGCCTCGGATATTCACGAGAACTTGGTCGTACAAGCTGCGTAGCGCTTTGATGTCAGTCGATGAACGGAACGGCCTAACATCCGTAGCTTGGCAAAATATTCTTGCTCCAGGCGCGTCTTGTCCCCAAATCGCTTCTGTAGCATTTTGATGGCGTCACTGTAGCAACTTTCTGTCGTCGGAAGGCCCGAAATTACTGATGCAGTGTCTCCTTTAGGATATAGTCGCAGGTAATGAAACCTCTCTGTGGCAGTGATGCGACTGTTACTATGAACAGTTTGGTTAAATTGTTCCCAAAATTCGGTCCACTTGCATAGGTCTCCAAAAAAGGAGCTATTGTCAGTTTAGGCAATTTAACTCCAGTTCCGTCTGATGGTGCTACGACTGTCTGGGCAACTGTTTCTTGAGTTCCGGTCGATGTCCTCAGCATGCGATCTTTCTTGCTGAGAATCTCAGTGAGAATGCGCGTAGCAACGTCCTCGTATTGTAAGACAGCGTTATACTCGACCTCGAACTCCTCGTCAGGTATATGCGGCTCAATCTCGTTGTTCAGGTTTTTAAGCTCTTCGTTATTAGCCTTCAGCCTCTCATATATGGAGTTGAGCTGGTCATGGGAGGCAGAGTCGTTAGCGAGGAGCTCAGTTGCCTCGTTTATAGTCCTCGTGTTCTGTGCTCGCAGCGACATCCGCTTCAACTTCAGTCGCTCCATGCCGCTGCAGTTGACTGGTAGCCATCCGTAGGGTCCTGGTTTTCAATCCTGGTTCTTCGGCACCAATGTTCAGTCAATGGCGTTCCAGACACTGCGATCAGACTCAACTCTGTCTTTGAGGTATAAGGCAAAAATACTTGTTTATTTAACTGCGTTCGGAAGCGCTCTGCTGTCACTTGAGCGTCCCCGCGTCCTTCGCTCCCGCTCTTCTTCTTTCTCGTTTCCTTGTCCCAGCACAGAACGTGAAAAATAATCAACACTGTTTTGCATGCAGCGGCCGTGGCCATATCTCCCGATACTGCCGTCGTCGCGCGCTCGGCTACACACACGCCCGACCACGAAGCAACTACATGGACCGACCCCCATTTGGTTATGAAAGTTCGGATCATCAGTCAAACAAGCCTTCCCGTGACTCTGCCGCAACTTCGTCTCGTCGCTCACCTTCACCCAATTGACGCTCCTTGTCACCCATGCGTCTACGACTAGCCCCTCAAAATGAGAGAAACTAGCTGTCGCAGTTCAGGGGGCAAGAACTGCGCTATCGAAATGTTCGAGTCCTCGCACCTTACCGTCAAATATTATCGAAGTTTTTGTAGACGGCGCCCATGCATACGCTCTTGTGAATACCGGTGCCACTGTGTGTGTTAGAGCCGCCAAACTTTGCCGCAAGCTCCGAAAGGTGACCACGCCGCTTGATATGATGTCCTTACGTGCAGCAAATTGAGAACCTGTTTGACCTATAGCCGCCTGCACTGCCCAACTCACAATTGCAGAGGACCACTACAATGTTGAGGTTATCGTCCTTTCCTCGTGCTCTCTTGACATCATACTTGGCTGGGATTTCCTATCGCGAAATCACGCCGTTGTAGATTGTGCCCCTTCCGAACTTGAACTGCTTCCGTTGTTCGACCAGCCTTACGACCACACTAATCAAGCCGCGCACAAGCTAGTTGTCAAAGAGGACACTGACATTCCACCAACAACAGCTGTTTTGCTCTCTGTAGTCTCCGACGGCATGCATGATGAAGTAGCACCTTTTGAGCCATCAACCCTCTTTCTAAGTCGGAAACCGCTTCTGCTCCATTATTCGACCCTCTCAATTTTGAATGGAGCCAGTGCTCTCTGCTTTACCAATCCCTTTCGGCATACCATCAAACTGTTTAAAGGCGAGTCTCTTGGATGCGTGTAACCCATTGATAACGGATAAATTTTTACCGTGCCGCAAGAATCATCCCAAAGTGACCTCACCGCCGTCAGTGCTCTTAACCACTCTGATCTACAGGCTTCGAAAATGTTCGATTCGGCGATCGCAGACGGACTGTCACCATCTGAACGACCTGAACTCCTTCATCTGCTGTACCAGTACCGCGAATCTTTCGATGTTGTTCAATCTTCACTTGGCCGCTCTTCTACCACTTTACATTTCATTGATACCGGCCCCCATGCGATACTACGACAACGACCATACCGTGTTTCTGTGGCGGAACGCCAAGTTATTACCGAACAGGGGAACGGTATCCTGCAACGCGGCGTCGTTCAACCTTCACAAAGTCCATGGGCCTCACCTGTAGTGCTCGTTAAAAAAAAGGTGGTTCCCTTCGCTTCTGTGTGGATTCATCATCATCATCATCAGCCTGACTACATCCACTGCAGGACGAAGGCCTCTCCCATGTTCCACCAGTTAACCCGGTCCTGTGCTTGCTGCTGCCAATTTATACCCGCAAACTTCTTAATCTCATCTGCCCACCTGATCTTCTGTCTCCCCCTAACCCGCTTCCCTTCTCTGGGAATCCAGTCAGTTACCCTTAATGACCAGCGGTTATTCTGTCTACGCGCTACATGCCGTTCAGATGTTCTGCAAGATAAAAGGAGGTACCTAATCTCAAAAGCACACGACAGCTTTCATAGGCAAAATAGAAGGATAGATCATGAGAAGAAGGTAGGCCACGTCATCTATTTATTCGTTTTGGGCGAATGAAATATACCTCGCAATGTTCAGAATACTCCACGACATACATGTGGAACGCAATACTGAACATGAAGAGGTGCATTTTAGGACCGTGACTTTTTCTAAAAGGCTCCATCTGTGCTCCCTCTTGACACATGTAACAATGAATACGCACAGGATACAATTTTAACAAAAGAAAGAACACATTCTGGTGTGGAGTTTCTGCCAAGTGGACGTTTTTGCTAATTCGATTATTCTCGCCAACCATACCCGCTGATTGAAGCAAGTGAATATCTCTCTATCAACACTGACACTGGCATATTGAACGGAAAGAAGCATGAACACAGAAGAGCATGCCTGTAACATCGTTAAGAATTCTCATCTTTGAAATATTTAAAAAGCATTCAAACGTCGCGAAATAATAACTGACCTGTTTGATACCTGAAGCAGTCGTATAACTCGTTAAGTCACAGGAAATAAGAGCAAGTATGGTGACGAGTGCCCCTTTTGGCATGATGTTTTTTTTTTACTCGCTGTAGTACTTGCGCACTCTCAATGCGAAGTTTCTTCTGACCGAAAGCTTGTTGAGTATGAAACCTATTCACGATACTTGCCTGTCTTTTATTCGACTCTGTGACAGATGTATCGGAATTTAGCACTCATCAAACGTCATTAAGTGTCTGACACATAATTCTTGTCATGACTCGGCTGCAAAATTCTAGTCACGCCGTTGAACTTTCGACATCAATACTATACAGGAAAGCTTAACGACAAAAAAAATTGTCTCAGACTGTTTAACGCACAACACTGCAAAAATATACACGGTCTCTAAAAAAAAGAAATATTCAGCTACTGGCCGAGAAGGTTGGTAGTCTAGGCTTCGTTCATGAACGAGAGTGAATCAATTATTATACGAAGCTTTAGCTTCTCCGAAATTTGTTTTGATTTCGTAGACTTGCTATATGAACCAGTGGTTGCAAGTTGCATCATTCGTACCTTTACGGCATCACGCATACCTCTCTAATATTAGAGAGAACATTTTTGTACCAAGTCACACGCTGCAAAACAGTCCTTCAGCTTTGCATCAAACAAGCTCTTCACGGAGAGAAGCTCCTCACACTTCAACCTCTAAGGAAGTGTCCCACTCGCTGCTCGGCAACTTACGATTCTCGGGCACTGTCTGTATCAAAGGCCGGTATACTTCCAGACCCGGCTAAGTTACGTGCTGTCGCCGGACGTCCCCAACCAACGACTATGAAGCAGTTACGGAGCTTCGTGGGGTTTATTGCCTTCCTACTTTCCGCCGCGGTTCGTGCGCAACTTCACCTCCACTATTCGGCGCCCTTTTGACCGAACTTATATTGTGCCCCTAGCACCACTGATATTTCGTCATGGTCTTCTGAGTGTGACCAATCCTTCTGTACCCTTCGTCGTCTCCTCACTTCACCACCAATACTGTGTCACTACGATCCTACGGCAGCAACTGAGGTCCACACCGACGCCAGTAGTGTCGGCCTCGGTGCGGTTCTCGCGGAACGCAAGCCTGGATTCGCCGAGTATGTCGTCGATTACGCCAGCAGAACTCTCACCAAGGCTGAATCAAACTACAGCGTCACCAAGAAGAAATGCTTGGCGATCGTTTGGGCGCTTGTCAAGTTCCGCCCATACCTTTATAGCCGTGCTTTTGATGTAGTAACGGACCACCACGCATTATGCTGGTTATCTTCGCTCAAGGACCCATCGGGTCGTCTTGCCCGTTGGGCTCTTCGGCTTCAAGAATATGACATTCGCGTTGTATATTGTTCCGGCCACAAGCATACCGATGCTGATGCACTGTCGCGATCTCCCCTATCCCCGGACATTGCATCTCTTTCCTCGGACAACACGTTGTCAGCTCTTGACGAGGACACCATCTCTTCTGCACAACGCAATAACCCATGGATTGCTTCGCTTCTTGACGTGTTATCCGAGGCACCGACACTTCTAACCACTCGAACCCTACGCCGCCAGGCTTCACACTTCAGTATTCTGGATGGCCTTTTCTACCGGCGTAACTATTCAGCAGATGGTAGGAAATGGCTATTAGTCATTCCCCGAACGCTGCGCTCTACTATCTGGGCGTCGTTTCATTCCGACCCGCAATGTGCTCACGCCGGTGGGTTCAAGACCTACGAGCGCCTACGAAAAAGGTATTACTGGCGTGGAATGTTTACCTTCGTCCACCAGTTCATTCGCGACTGCCACGAATGTCAGCAGCGGAAAATCCCGCCACATCCTGCAACAGGTTCATTGCAGCCACTTCCATGCCCAGACCACCCATTCGACCGTGTAGGAATTGACCTCTACGGACCAATACCATTGACAACAGCAGGCAACCGATGGGCTATCGTGACAGTAGATTATCTAACACGGTACGCTGACACTGCTGCTCTTCCCACAGCTGCAGCACAAGACGTCGCAACTTTCCTACTCAATCGTTTTGTTCTTTGTCAAGGTTGTTCTCGAGAACTCCTCAGTGACCGAGGGTGTGTTTTCCTCTCCGATGTAATCCAAGCACTTCTATAACAGTGCCATATTGTACACCGGAAGAGTACAGCCTACCACCCACAGACAAACGGTTTGACTGAGCGGTTCAATCGTACTCTGGGGGACATGCTCGCTACGCATGTCGCTTCTGATGAAACAAACGGGGACCTCATTCTTCCATTTGTGGCATACGCGTATAACACCGCTACGGAAGTCACTACCGGGTTTTCCCCATTTTTTCTCCTGTACGGTCGCCAACCATCGCACACCATCGACACTTTACTGCCTTACTCGCCAGATCTCTTCGAATGCACGCCTGTCTCGGAAGCCGCTCGTTACGCAGAAGAGTGCCGCATGCTTGCCAAGCGGCTTACTACATCAGACCAACTGCCCCAGAAAAAGACCCGTGACGACGACCATCGTTCTGCACCAACGTTGGTTCCTGGAGCACTTGTATGGCTTCATGTATCGCCCGGTGCCCCTGGTGTATCACCCAAGCTACTCTCTAATTAGCGTGGTCCCTACCGCGTGGTCGAGCTTACCTCATTCGTGAACTACGCCATTGAACCCCTCACGCCACCAAGCGACCGTCGTCGCCGTGGACGTGATATCGTTCACGTTAACCGTCTGAAGCCCTACTTTGACCCGCTTGTCCCCACGTGTTAAATTTCCAGGATGGCTTCAGCTTTTTCGCCGGGGGTAATTATAGTGCATAAGAAAGACGTTGATACAACCATGTCAGCTATCATCAACACAAGAAAAAAACGTGATCAGCATTCGAGCACCATCATCTTAGTCCGCCTGTGTTCCTATCGAACTAACACCCGCTTGCTCAGTCCTTCAATAAACCCTCTTTACATGTGGAACAAAAAAACATAGATCTGACCTTCCGGCAGACTCCTTCACGTGGCAGAAGGTGTGGAGGGGCCACTTCAAGTGCAGCACTTTAAAAACGAACTGTTAATAGCATTCGCTTCTGTATCACCGATACCAGGCACAAAGACGCAACAACTGTTACCAAAATTGACAACGGTTACGCCGGCCCCAGGTGACAGTACACAAATCACATTTGTCATATGAATCGTTCTGCGAATACTAGAGTGAATAAGGTCATGCAGAGTGAACACACTGCACGACTATACTCCACGTACGCTCTTTTTCCGAAGATAACAGCTTTCACCAGGGACTTTCACCTGTACTATAAAAGCAAGACTCTTGGCTGTCGACATCAACTGGCTGCAAAGAGTGAGTAGGAGCGTGCACACTGAGAAAACTTCCATTTTCATTGTTCAGATGTTCATCAAGATAAAAGGAGGTACCTAATCTCAAAAGCACACGACAGCTTTCACAGGCAAAATAGTAGGATAGATCATGAGAAGAAGGTAGGCCACGTCATCCATTTATTCGTTTTGGGCGAATGAAATATACCTCGCAATGTTCAGAATACTCCACGACATACATGTGGAACGCAACACTGAACATGATCAGGTCCATTTTAGGACCGTGACTTTTTCTAAAAGGCTCCAGCTGTGCTCCCTCTTGACACAAGTAACAATGAATACGCACAGAATACAATTTCAACAAAAGAAAGAACACATTCTGGTGTGGAGTTTCTGCCAAGTAGACGTTTTTGCTAATTCGATGATTCTCGCCAACCATACCCGCTGATCGAAGCAAGTGAATATCTCTCTATCAACATTGACACTGGCTTGTTGAACGGAAGGAAGCATGAACACAGAAGAAAGAGCATGCCTGTAACATCGTTGAGAATTCTCATCTTTGAAATATTTAAAAAGCATTCAAACGTCACGAATTAATAACTGACCTGTTTGATACCTGAAGCAGTCGTATAACTCGTTAAGTCACAGGAAATAAGAGCAAGTATGGCGACGAGTGCCCCTTTTGGCATGATGGTTTTTTTTTCACTCGCTGTAGTACTTGCGCACTCTTAATGTGACGTTTCTTCTGACCGAAAGCTTGTTGAGTATGAAACCTATTCACGATATTTGCCTGTCTTTTATTCGACTCTGTGACAGATGTATTGGAATTCAGCGCTCATCAAATGTCATTAAGTGTCTGACACATAATTCGTGTCACGACTTGGCTGCAAAATTCTAGTCACGCCGTTGAAAATTCGACATCAATAATATACAGGAAAGCTTAACGACAAAAAAAATTGTCTCAGACTCTTTAAAGCACAACACTGGAAAAATGTACACGGTCTCTCAAAAAAAATATTCAGCTACTGGCCGAGAAGGTTGGTAGTTTAGGCTTCGTTCATTAACGAGAGTGAATCAATTAATATACGAAGCTTCTCCGAAATTTGTTTCGATTTCGTAGACTTGCTATATGAACCAGTGGTTGCAAGGTTCATCATTCGTACCTTTACGCATCGCGCATACCTCTCTAATATTAGAGAGAACATTTTTGTACCAAGTCACACCCAGTGAAAATAGGCTCTTCTTCGCGTCAGTTCTTTGTTCTTCTAATAGCAATAAAACACTAGGTGACAGAGTGCCACGTGGATTTGCTCGGAACTACGTATCGACGCCATGCTATGGCTGTGCGTGCGTCAGACTTGTACGTGTCTCAAAAAATAAGTATTTCATTATACTAACAGATACTTGCTTTAAGATATGTCACGGATTCTAGTGGAACATTTCAGCCCCGAAATTGCGTACGGATTTTCAGCATTGTGATCAATTACACATGCATTATTCCCTTCAAAATATTCCTTCTGAAACACAATATAGCAATTCACCTCGGAAAGATGTGGTTTAATTAGTAGATAGATGGCTGGAGCCTATAGGCCTCGTTGGAAAAGTGGCTGCGGTGCTCGGCTGCTGATTTAAAAGGTCGCCGGTTCAGTCCAGGCCACGATGGTCACATTCCATGTGGAAGAGAAATCGTAGAGGCCCGTGTACTGGGCATTGTCACTGAAAGTTAAAAAACAGCAGATGGTCAAAATTTCCAGAACT